CGTTTAAGTCAAACGCGGTATATTTGACGATTTCCGTCGAATTTTCACAATAATTCAAAGTATAGGGTATCGACGTGTATGATATGAAACCAGAGGGGATTTTTTTGTATGATAGCTATACCACAGGGGACTTTTTTGTTGTTTACCCATTTAGTGACCAAGTGTTTAGCTTAAGCATCCGGGAAAATGGTCCCATGACTATCGTTATGGTAAAAAAACTTATTATAATAGGTTATAATAAATTTAGCAACCATTTGATTACCTGTTGGACTTATCCACTTGAATAGGATTATGCGTAAAAATAAGGAAGTAAGTTTGTCATCTAAAATAGTAAGTTAACGTAATAAACTAGTAATTTTTGCAGCCCAAAATGTGAATTGAAAGTATTACGAAACATATTTTTTAAAGAGATAAATTACAATTTTTATCCTCAATATACTTTTGAGGGAGTAAGTTTATTCGAAGTAATAGTATGTTTTTATACATAATTAATCATTTTTACTTATAACATAGTAAATTTCATTAATGACAAAAACATGCTAATTTATGGCAAAAATTCTCTATTATGCTTAAAAAACTTATGCCAAGCCCATATTTTATTGTTATTTAAAATAACACTAAAATGTTTTATTAATGATTAAAATTGAGTACCTTACTTAGTAAGTAATGTTAATATACTTGTATAAATATTTGATCGTATGTGAAAAAATTAGTATTTTTGAAATTTATACATAATTAAATTTTTTCTGTTGCAGTTTAAAAAAAAAAGTAAACGAAATTTTTTTTTGCGCAGAGCACCAAAATCCACAAGTCAAAATAGTTGGTCTGAAAGGGAAAGATACAGCTGAATAGCATTGTTTAAAGCACCACATAAATAGATGTAAAATGCTGGTTAAAAACTGGTACTTTGACATATAATAAAGGAAAGTCATAAAAATCAAGCCATTTATGGAAAAAGTTTTCATTAATAAAAATTCCAGCTCTTCACGACTTTCTTACCAGTCCTCCCAAGCATGAGCAAAGTGCCAATAATTGAAATAGTAATTTTTTTGATTTATACAGAATTAATTTATTTTTTGCAAATTTAAAAAATAATTGAAATTTTTTTTATCAAAAAGCACATAAGTCAAAAGGATTGGTCTAAAAGGGAAAGGAATAGTAGATATGTACAGTACTTGTATTTCACGTTCGAAGGACTACAGTGTTGTTTTTGACAATACCCCAAAAAATATGTAATGCAAACGGAACTGATTCTTCATTATTTAAAATATCAAATCTGTGATTGTGTTTTAACCGTTATCCATTGGTATTCTAAAGTATCATTTTTTCATCCAATACCACCTCTTTAACACCCGTTTTCCCTTAAAAATTTTATTTATTGGATGAAAAAAAATAAACCTTTTCTGCAATAAAACACTAGCTCTTTGTAGCTTTCCTCCATTATAAGAACAGAGAACCCATTTCTTCATTAAAAAAATTATTTATCAGATAAGTTAAAAATTAACCCGTTTTTCAATAAAACACTAGTTATTTATTGTTTTCGTCCATTATAAGAACAGAGTACCCATTTATAAACAAAAAAATTTATTTATCGAATAAAATAAAAATAAACCCATTTTCCAATAAAACACTAACTCTTTATGACTTTCCTCCATTTTAAGAACAAAGTACCCATTTTTGCATAAACAAAATTTATTTATCGGCTAAACTAAAATTAAATCCATTTTTCAAGAAAACACTAGCTCTTTATGACTTTTCTCCATTATAAGAACAAAGTACCATAACAAAATTTGTGGATAAAATAAAATAAAAATAAAACTATTTTTCAATAAAACACTTGCTCTTTGTGACTTTTCTCCATTATAAGAACACAGTACCTACCTTTCCATTAAAAAGTGTATTTATTGAATAAAATAAAAATAAACCCGTTTTCTAATAAAACACTAACTCTTTATGACTTTTCTCCATTATAAGAACAAATAACCCATTTTCGCATAAAAGAATTTATTGGATAAAATAAAAATAAATCCATTTTTCAATAAAGCACCAGCTACTTATGGCTTTCCTGCATAAATTATCTATTTTCATACGTTAATTTATTAGTTAGATAAAATCAGAATGAAATTAGGTTGAACAACAAATTACTCTTTACGATGAAATTGAAATACAGAAAAGTAACCCATAGCATGTTTTAACTCCATTTCCAATACAAAAATATGCTACAAATTCTTTTGGCAAACGCAAGACACCTCATTCATAAAGTCTCAAGAAACCTTTCCAACCATTATGCAAAAGCAACTTATTCATTCTAAATTTTTAGCATCAATTTGATTATCAGTTGGACGTATCCACCTGAATAGGATAATATGTATTTTCTGGGACACGAGACATAATAGGAATTAAACTTGCATTAATGTAGACCTAACAAAATGAGAAAAATAGCATAACAATTAATACAATAATAAGAATAACAGAGTTGGTATAACAACATTAGTTTAGTCTACAAATTTATTTTTTTCTGCAGATAGTTCGCGAATATGACATTCAACCACTAAAAAAAAGACATCTATATCTGTCTATATGTATTGCAGAGAGAATTTTAGATAAGGAGCTTTTCAAATTGTCAAAAGTCCGAATACTATTTTATTACAATTTTACATTTCTAAAATTAAGAAATGTTTATCTCACAACTAATCCTTTAACTGCTCGTACAAATCCTATAATCGTGTTCATGTTTTTCCCACATTTCCCTCACATTTTCCCCACTAACCAATAAAATTAAAACTCCCGAATTTTAACTAACAGATAATAACCAACCATGTCAAATTAATATCTGTAAATTCCAATTAACATCTCACATTTATTACTGACTTTACTGATAGTATGACATTCACATCTCACACTTACCACATTACTCATAGCAATAACTAACTGTTAATTTAAGATATTCGCAACAGCGAAAGTCACAGATCCAAAATTTAGGAGCATGTTGAAATTATAATTTTCACAATTTAATGTATTTTATTGCCATAATATAGTTTACTCTCAGAATCATTCACAAAACTGCTGCACACTAATCCAATTGACCCATTTAATTTGCCATCATATAAATTCAATACAGTGAAAAAATTGCGTATCATACATTTTTTCACTAAGGATAAATCTCAGTTACAAACATTTCAGTCAGTGACAAAGCCAAGATTTTGTTTCTAAAGAGGCTAAAATGGGTACTCAGTTTTTATAATGGAGAAAAGCAATAAAGAGTTAGTGTTTTATTGAACAATGGATTTATTTTTATTTCATCTGATAAATAGATTTGATTATGCAAAAATGGGTACTCTGTTCTTATAATGGCAGAAAGTCATAAAGAGTTAGTGTTTTATTGAAAAATCGAATTTTCATGTATTTTATCCGACAAATAAATTGGTTTATGGTAAAATTGGTGTTAAAGAGGTGGAATTTTTCTAGAGGGGCTGAAATGGGTACTCTGTTTTTATAATGGAGGAAAGCCATAAAGAGTTAGTATTTTATTGAACAATGGATTTATTTTTATTTCATCCGATAAATAGATTTATTTATGCAAAAATGGGTACTCTGTTCTTATAATAGAGGAAAGCCATAAACAACTACTGTTTTATTCAAAACCGAATTTTCATGTATTTTATCCGATAAATAAATTGGTTTATGGAAAAATTGGTGTTAAAGAGGTGAAATTTTATGGGAAAATGATACTTTACGATACCAATGGAAAACAGTTACAACACAATCACAGATTTGACATTTTAAATAGTGAAGAATTGGTTCCGTTTCGATTACATATTTTTCAGGATATTTTTCAAAAATAGCACTATAGTCCTTCGAACATAAACTATAGGTATTGTACGTATATGCTATTCTTTTCCCTTTTACACCATTTCTTTGACTTATGTGCTTTCTCATAAAAGATTCTCATTCATTTTTTTAAATGGAAAAAAATTAATGAAATATGTATAATTCGAATAAATACTATTTTAATTATTGCCATTTTGCTCATACGTTGCAAGACTGATAAGAAAACCGTAAAGCGTTGCTATTTTTATGAATGACAACTTTTCTCGTAAATGGCCTGCTCTTTATGTCTTTCCTTTATTATATGTCAACACACCTGCTTTTAACGAGCATTTTACATCTAATTTATTTAGTACTGTAAACAATGATATTCAGAATGTTTCTTTCCCCTTTAGACCAAGAACTTTGACTTGTGGATTTTTGTGCTTTGAGAAAAAAAAATTTCGCTTACCTTTTGTTTAAACTGCAAAAGAAAAAATCAATTTCCCCATAAATCTCAAAAATGCTTATTTATATACACATACCATCAAGTATGTAAAACAAGTATAATAACTGTACTGGCTAAGTAACGTACTCAATTTTAATCAGTAATAATACATTTTTTGTGTTATTTCAAATAACTCTAAAATAGGGGCTTCGTATAAGTTTTTTAAGCATAATACAATATTATTGCCATAAATTAGCATGTTTTTGTCATTAATCAAATTTACTATGTTATAACTAAAACTCATTATTTCTGTATAAAAACATATTTTTACTTCAAATAAACTTGCTCCCTCCAAAGTATATTTGGGATATACTATTGTAATTTATCTTTTTAAAAAGTATGTTTCATATTACTTACAATTTACCTTTTCGACTGCAAAAGTTACTAATTTATTACGCTAACTTACTATTTTGAATGACAAATTTACTCCCTTATTTTTACCCATAATCCTATTCAATTGGATAGGTCTAACGGGTAATCAAATGGTCGCTAAAATTTTTAGAACCTATTATATCATATCTAAAACTGTGTTGTTTACCGTATCGATAGTTATGGGACCATTTTCTTGGATGCTTAAACTGAACACTTGGGTACTAAATTTATATATGTATATAAATATAATGAAGGCTTGAATCCTTTCGTTTATCTCCACTTTTCCTTCTTCCAAATTATTATCCCCTACGCGTATGCGATAATCATTTATTATTTCTTAAAATTTCGGTACCGTCTTTACGCACATTTTTTGTCCAAGGCATTTGCAACATTTTTCCATTGGTAATGGGTACATTTGCAAATACATAAATGCCTCTGATTTTAACATGCAATAACACTTCCTGACCCAACTAGTACGGAAGTCAGTGTGCTTTCTGGTTGCATCCGCAGACGATTCTCGTATATTTCCTCTTCACATGCTGTGCAACAATTTAACGTCTCCGTTTGGACTGTATATAACGTCAACACGTGTCGCTCTCTGCCGGCCTTCCTACCATAAGCAGGTTCCTGCCATAAAGGTTTCCCATTTTTCCTCATCTTTTCCCACTTCTTTTGTCAATTGACTGACCTGTTATTTGGTCTAGTCTTCTTCTCAGTTCTCACTTTGAGGCCTTCACACTATAAAACAACAAAAAGATGGTTGTTAAAACTTGGATCAACACTCTCAAATGAATTTTTCTATTCCTAGAATTTCTGGGCTACTTCTCTCAACACATTATTGTACCAGTTGCATACTTTAATGTTCCCTTGAGTTTCTCGGTACTTCTGTGTTATGTGGACTCCCACCTGCAAATAGAAAACAAATTCCCGTCTCAGCTTTTGGTCAATAGTACCAAAAGTGATGATGCTTCAATTCAATTTCATTACTGACATCCCAAGATAATGTTAGGTAGTTTTCTTTTATCATTCATTACGCCATATATATTACTACAAATAATTTTTTTTTTTTTTTGAAAGAACTAGAATCAGACCATGTTAGTGCAATGTAATCCTAGACCTTCATGATCATCATCGCTGCGGTAAAATTGGATGACAGGGGCTTGAAAGCGAAGACCATCTTGATCGTTGATGTCAGAGAGGCGCTTGCATTCCCGAGGAGTGGACTTGGCCGGACGGACCAGCTCCGGCTTTTGTCTGGTCACCCTGAATGTCAGAGGCTTTGATCCCATTTTGTTGTCCACAAACAAACTGCTACGCACGCAGTGATTTAACCACCACCAACGAATATATTTGCTCAGGATCAGGCTCAGGCTCAGGAAATGAAAACACTAGTAATGAGAATGCTTTAATTGTGTGTGTACAGATATAGATAGTCTGACACAGGAGAAGAAAGAAAGAAGGTTTGGTCTTCTGAGGATGCCTTCCCACAGCATGGGATTTATATAGTGCTACTGAGTGTAACAGTAGTCATACGCAAGAGGAGTTGAAGGAAAAACACACCAAAAAATATTAATCTATTTTTACTTCCAACATATGCCGGAAGGGCACGAGTGAGAAGCTCAAAAAATCAAATTATCGTTCTAAAGCAAGGAACAGAAACTTATAGTACATACTTTTAATTTCTGTCTTCTTTTTTTTTTTTAACTATTTTATTTTTTCTCCAAAGCAATTTGCTCGAGCAACGTAACTAAGTTGACGACCTCAAAGCAATTGATTTTGACGTTTAAAGAAACGTAAAGATTGAGTACTGTAATGACACAAATGGGCTGCGTGATACACTTTTTTTTTTTTTCTCTTACTAGAATCATTTTAAAACAAGAAAACGTGGGAAGGTGGTCGGTGAAGGACGGGAAACTACTGGGGAGAGTCCTGAGCAAAAGCTATTTGATTTCCGATGAATGAGTTCTTCTGTACAGCAGAAGCCAAACTTTTATAACCATCATCATCTCTGAAGTAGTTGGCCACGCATGTCTTATCCAAGCAAGTGGACAATATTGGGTTTGAGTTTTATTTTATCCCAAACCCAACACAATTGGGTGGATAGAATAAAACTCAAATTCAACAGACAATGAAATGTTATCCTTTTTTTCGTGGCCAAAATTTTATAGAAGTGATTGTTAAATCTCATTCGAGTGGACAATGAACTATAACCTAATTGATAAAGATGATTCATCGTCATATCATGGATTCAAGTCATTCATTCAAATGGACAATAAAAAATAACCTAATTGATAAGACGGTTCACCGTCTAGTCGTGAATTCAAGTCATCAGAGAGAAAAAGTAAAAAAATTACTATTGATACTCTTTCCTTCCTTTTTTTTTTTATTAAATTGTAAAGATCGCATTCAAGTGAAAGTGCTGGCACACTCGGCTGTGAACAGAGTTATGTGTGTTTTGGATATATGATTTTTTGGAAACGCTTTCTCCCAACTAGGCATGTCAATGGGTAGGGTCTGGGTTGGAACCCTTTGATCCAAATCCAGACCCATTTAATTTAGTTAGACCCAGACCCAAATCCAGACCCTTTCGGGTTTAAAAAAGTAAATCTATACCCAAACCCTTATGGATCTGGGTATTCAATGGGTATTTTTTGAAAATACTAAAGTAAAAATTTATTAAAAATATATAGAGTTCATAAATAATAGAAATATCATCCAATTTTTATTTTCAAATAATAAAATTAACATTCAACAAATTGAATGCAATATTTTGAATTCAAAGAAAGAATTATTATTGACTACTTCTATATACTTTTAAAGATTCAACTGCATCCACATCAATATTTCATTTATTTGCCTTTACCTTTTCTCCTTTTCTTGAAAAAGTCTGTACCAATTACAATGACAACTAGGATTAGTTTTTAAAAAAGAAAACAACCATAACATATATAAATATTTAGTTTTATTTAAAAAAAATGTAATTTTGTACCTCTTTTGTTTATTTAAACCTCAATGTTGGCAGATGTCTCACAATCCAACACTAAAATCGTGAATGAGATAAAAATCTTTCGATTAAGAACCGATGACAAATAAATAATAGCATAAGAATATTTATAAACACTTACTCATTTTTTCTTTGATTCAATCTAATCATCAGTAGTCACTAATGTTTCAACAACATCTATAAGTAATTTGGTACGAGTCTCATTAATCATCCAACCACCAATATTAATTGCAGATTCTGATGCCATAAAATCTTACTGTATTTGATCCAATAGCCATAAAATATTATATTATTTTATAAATTTTCTAATATATATATAATTTAATTAAATATATATGGGTCTGGGTACGGTCTGATATTGATCTGGATTTGGATATGAATTCTAAAAAACCAGACCCTACCCAGACCCACGACACTCTCATAGGATCTTGGTCTGGGTAGGGTTTGGATTTGAGAAATTAAATCCAAATCCTATCCAAATATATTGGATTTGAATTGGATTTGGATAAAGCCCGACCCATTGACACGCCAACCCCCAACCACAAAAAAAAAAAAAGAAGAAGCTAGAGTGCTTGTTTCCCCGGCTGACATTTGCTTGTGCAGGAAATGACGTTCGTATCAAAGACAGACGTCCGGATACCCTTCTTTTTACACCTTCGCTTTAACTTCACCCTCTGTGGAAGAACATCGGTGGAAAGTTCGCATTTTGAGAAGAAAGACGTCCATGTGTCTGCTTACCCAAAATAGTCAGTTTTTTCATCTGCTGAGACTGGTAAAAGCGTATAACCAATATGAAATGAGCAAAACCAGCAGGACAAAAGCACTAAAAAAAGAGATGAATCATTATATTATTTAGATTTTTTCTTTGTTTTCTAACTGGATAGTTATCCATGTACAACAAAATATCTGGTACTCCTCAGAGAGGAGTATTGTATAACAATTAAAATGAAGACAAAATCTTGCCCCAACGCAGACAAACAATTCATAATGGCATTATACATTCAATATAAAATCTACCAAAAAGAGCAATTCTATTGCAGTCGTCCCAAATACTATATACAAAGTTTGTCATCTGCTCTCCTAGTATTACACTGAAAGTTAATTTTTCTAACCCGACCGTCCGCTCTACCATCAGAAATGCAGAAGAATAAACCTTATACTTAACAGGCTTCAAACATATGTGCAAAAGCCACATCTTACCACTAAACGGATTCTGAGTTTGACACAAGCAAATAGAAAACGACCGGACGTTACCAAGGGAAATACCTCAGTTATCCAAGACTCTTCGATTCTATGACGGTGACTCCTCTGGCTGTCGAGATAACTCCTTATCAGCAAAGTGAAGAAGCCTTCTAAGTCTCAGAACCATGTCGCAGTGAAATGGCAATGCAGATCGGTCATCCATGATAAAGCATGAAGTTCTGCTGCCACAGACTCAAGAACCAAATGAGTCTCTAATTCAAATTCCCTAGCTTCCGAACTTAAGCCCCTTCCTCCCAATTTTCCCATGCCCTTCACAATTTTATCTTGGGCCATGTTATTACCTCCATAATAATCAACAAGACTTACGGAAAGTATAGAAGGCCATTCTTCTTTCGAGATGCTCCTAGAATCTTTCCGCATTGAAGGTACAGCTATTGAAACCACAAAACCAGTACAAGGGGAATAGCAGAGCCTTTACTGTGTAGAAGGTGAGCTAGGGGTGGGGACTCAGCGGTTAGGCATGTAGGGAGTTGAAGAGGTGCAGGCGGGAGAAAACCAATTATTATCGATTTATTTGAATTTGGGTTAACAAAAGGCTAGAGACACGTGGTAGCTGTACAAATGAAGGGCAGAGGGAACAGAGACTACTTTGGGGACAGATGATTCGAAGCTCCAATCTTTTTTTTTTTTTGTCAATCGTCAACTCTACTCCTATTCTATCATAATCTAACTACGGGAGAAACCCAACTGGACCTATAGGGGACCGATGGGAACAGAACCATCACTGTACCAGACGGGTGCACCACGCACCCGTCTGGATTTTTTTGAAGAATCACAATTGTGACAAATTGATGGGAGGCAAGGGTTCGTGGTGGCCATCTGAACATTTTTTAAAGGTTTGGTGGTGGCCATCGGCCTAAGGCTGCATCAATAGTTGGTTTTAGTACGTTACGCGGCATGCGATGTAGTACATATAGAATGTGTAATAGTTTCTCTTCTCATCGTGGTGATAGATGCTCAACGCAGCCAAAATTGCCGGCCTTACTTTCCCTTCTTAGTACTTCATGTGGGTTGACTTCCTTCTGCAAGGTATATTTGGGTGGATTGATAATAGAGGAATTGACATGTTTTGGTCTAAAATAGGAGTGTAAACGAGTTGAGTCGAGTTGAACTTTGGCCTAATCAAGCCAAACCTCTAGTTAATTTTATGAATTTCGAACTCGAACTCGAATTCGACGAATTCAAAATATCAAGCTCGATCTTGAGTTTGATTCAAATTCGAGTCTAGCTTAAAAAATAAAAAAAATAATTATTATTATTTTATTTTTTAAAAATAAAAATATACTATTTTATTTTTTAAAATGAATAAAATAATAATTTTTTAACAAACAATAAAATATTAGGGATATATATATGTAGTTTTACTATTAAAATAAAAATAAAAAATATATATATATAATTGAGCTCGCGAGCCAACGAGTTTAATGTTTTTTAATTCGAGTTTGACTCGAACTTGATGTTGACCGAGTTCGAGCGGCTCGATTCGTGAATAGCCCTAGTCTAGAATGATTGTGCCGTGCCACTCATTCTAGCACAAATGGTAGAAACTACACATTTAATTTTCTCAGGAAATAGTTTCTGTCAAGATTCTAAGAAACTATTCTCATAACACACACACATATATTAGGCACTGATTCTCGCATTATTCTCATAACTTTCCAGGAATTCCAATGACATGAGAAATAGTACAGTATATAAGCATAGGAGGCGGACACGAGATCAGGGGAATGAATGAAAGTAAGAAAGTTGTTCACAGGGCTGATCTGACGACAGTGGAGTGATCAATAATGCTATGATGGTTGTTGCTCAACAACTTCTCCAACTCTCTCACAAATCTGTCCATCGCAAAGCCCGGCAGGCAAATAGGAACCACTACTCCTTTCTCCCCGTTCTTGTTCGTGACAGTTATGTAAAAGCTCAACAAGCCGGGGATGGCACCAACCCCGCCCTTGGCCGGGCCTCCGTACTCTGGCCTTCCCCAACCGAAGTCCACCTCATTGAACCCAATCCGAGTATTATCCGACACGACATAAGTCCTCACCACGGTGAAATGAGGCCTCCCTTTGATAACCATTAAATCAGCCACCGATTTCATGTAATCTTCAGTCACATCACATTTGGCCTTATTCACCAGCTCCAACGCATATCCCAGAGGACTCTTGCACAGCTCTCCGGCAGTCGTCAGGGCCACCGGAAATGCAAAGGCATTGCCGTAGTATCCTTGTGGCAAGGGAGGATCGAACTTGGAGCGAGCGTTGACGATGCAGAGCACGCGGACTTCCTCATTGGGTTCGGGCTGGAGGGCGATGGTCCGGCAGCGCCAGAGACAGGCCGTCAAAACCTCAAATGTCGAACACTTGCGACTGATGTCGAGCGGGATGGATTTTCTCAGAGCTGATACCTCCGTCGGGCCGAAGAAGAAGGAGCGGTGGACCATATCGTCCAGGGGAATGATGGTTCCTTTGGTATCGGCTACCTCATCGTATTCGTGATGGGTGCACGTCACCCTTGGCGGGTCTCGAGCATTCAGGAGCTCTCTCTGCCATACTGGCAGTACAGATGGGGCGGAAGCTCCCCGTGCGATTTCGCCGACTGCATTCATGAACTGAACGAGTCCGGTACCGTCGGCCACGGTGTGATTCAGGCGCACTGCGAAGATGAAACCCCCGCATCTCAAACGAGTCACC